AGGTTTGATACTACAGCCTGGGCTGTACAGCAGGTCAAACTATGACTTAAAAAACAATTAGCTAAGTAAATTCAGAACTATAAATGTTTACATGCAGGGGCTAGTCCACACAGTACTGATTAAAATCATTAAAGCCTACACTTTCCCCGTCGTGACTGGAAGGGGCAAAACCACCACACATTCCTCCCAAAACAGGGGAGATGGCAAGGGGGTGGTGAGGAAGCACCCGCACTTGGCAGCACAAGTCCCCCCCTCCCCACTTCATCCTGAAGCACCCAGAAACCCACCTGTGAGAAATGTGATCTGCCCACAGAGCCAGGCCAGCCCACCCATGCCTGCTGCCAAGGGAGGATGAGGGCTGGCACCAAGCATGGCTGGGTTGTGGACAACCCGTTCCCTGAGGGCCAGGGCAGTGCAGGGGATGAGGTGGCTCAGGATGTCTGGTGTTACACTGTGGCGGGCCAAGGAGGAGCAATATAGAAGTTTCCAGCTCACACAAACCATTTACACAAGCGAGACCAATGCGTTTTGTTGGAAGACCAGTGCATTTTGCTGGCCCAACTTCAATACAGCTGATCAGACCCCAGATAATACAGCTCAGAAGTTATTTTAAGAATATATTTGAGGTTTGCCCGATCCAGTGAAACTCTGAAACAGGGCCAAAATTGTTGGGACTTAATAAACACAGGAACTTTTCCACTGAAGTCCTCTAAATGTGGTGTCTGTACTCATGCTGCCCAAACCTGGGCAGCACTTTGTGTGAGCAGGACCTTTGCAAAGGCAGCACTTCCAAAGTCACCACGGAAGCAAGGTGGTGGCAGAGATACAAACACAGGCAGCAATGCTTAATATGCTCTGGGCATGCTATCACTGCACAAGTGACCCTCACAGACTTTGGACCAGATCCTCAGACTGAAGTTTTGCAGTCATTTTTAGGTGGCCCTGCACTGCGCCTGCCCCCTTCTAGCCCTGCGCTCCTCTCTCCTGGCCAGACAAAAGCAACCCTGCAGCCAGGCTGGGAATTAGGCAGGGTTAAAGGGGATGGGTGGGAGGCTGATGGTTAATTTTTGCCCACATTAGCTCCCTCCACACGGCTGCATGGAGTTTCCGTCAGCTGGGGTAGGGCTGGAAAGGGCATCCAGAGGAGAAAGTGGCCAGGACGAGAGGAAATGCAAACCCATCTCCTCCAGCCACAGTGCCCACCTCCACTGATGTAGCACTTCCCAAAATCTCTGTCCCTCCTCCAAGTTGGCAGAGCTGCAGCAGCCAGCAGCAGCTCTCATCTGCCCACTGTCACACAGAAACAAACTTATCAGCTGATATTTCCTTACACTTTATAGCTGTGTATTTTGGTAACTTTGTTCCTAAGCAAATAACTGATCCATTTAGTTCCTGGGGTTATTGATGTGGATCCTAACAGGTTCCACCATTGGCAGAGCTCATCCAACTCTCATGGCAGAGGACTGCATAGCAGGCTGATTGCTAAGTGCAACATTAAAACTCGTATTTTCTAAACACCCTCCCTCCTTTCAGCCCTTTACTGTAACAGTGCATTCACCTTTCCGGATTGTGTTTCTTCTCACAGAATTCTCAAACATTCAGGAATGCAAACATTAAGTTTGCTGCACAACCACTGCAAGAAAGCACCGAAACAGTCTCAGCTCTGTTTTAGGGAGAAGGAAACAGAAACTGACTGTGCATGGTGTTCATGCCCCTGTGCATACTGACAGTGCGCTTAGGTAAGGCTGCTTGTTGCACCTGCATATCTTACTCCACCCTGGCGAGGGTTAAAGAACACAGGGCTGAACTGTGCCTTACAACCCCTTATCTACCGAGATTTGGGCCTCAGCAGGGGAACATCACTGCCAAAATCTAAGACAAGCCAGAGACACAAAAAGATTAAGGCCTAAATTGCCACACTTCATGTTTGATCATCTCTAAAAGTGCTGATTTTCAGGCTGCTCAATCAACCTAAACCCCACTGGCTCAACGGGAACGCCATGCCCGCAGTGCCTTCTCAGAGTCAGGGTGGTTATGAAGTCTCCTAAATCTGGACAATTAAAGGCAAACGGTTTGTGGGTTTTCCACCAAACTGATTCTGTCACCATCTTTAAACCCTCAAACCCAGAGAGATGTGACTGTCTACAGGGTCTGCTGCAGTGGGTGGCCACAGCCACCACCAGGGGAAGGCTGCCTTCCCCTGTTACCCTGGCAAACAGCTGAGCTTGGACAGGGAGATGAATCCCACCGTTGGTGGCTACGGAGAGATCAAATTAAAGGACTAAAAGCCCTCCAAAGATGCAGCCTGCCTAAAGCAGAGGAAATAACAGTATGGAAGGATGAAGCAGACCACCAGCACCAGGGATGCAGGAAGTGCTGGCAAGCAACACTTGCCCATCAGCTGTCACCAAGTATTTGAAAACACTCATGCTTTCTACTTCACATATGCAGATTCCAAACATTACCCAAGGCAAAAATTCTGTACAACAGGCATTAGACTCATGAAGACATAACTAACAAGGCCATAACCACCACAACCAGTGCTTTCCCTTCTGATATGTTTTAAGGGTTCCTATGACCTGCATTGCACTAGTTAGTGCAAAACTTATTACTGCTACTAATCATCACCATCATGTGAATCTTCCAATGCAACTGACCTCCTAAAAAGATTATTCACTTCATTTTAGTGTAACAATTTTATCAAAATTGTCCTATTTTGTCATTTGGCTCAGTCACGCCAGCCACGCTTTCTGAAAAGCTTCCATGAGGAAGGAGGCACATATCGTCTGGTTCCTCAGCAACCGCAGCCCTTGGTGGGAAGGAAAGGTTTCGTGGAGGATGAGCATAACCTCAGAGTGCCTGTGTACACTATTACGGTAAGGTCATGCTCAAAGATGTAATCACCAACCCATTTTAACAAACAAAATAACATGGTCTAGACTGTAAGGCATGCTGGGCTTTTAAACATTACCATTTCTGGTAACAGCCACATTTGAGAGTACTCTTTTTTAAGAGCTATTTTTGTCTACACTTCCTAACTCACGTTAAATAAATAAATTCAGTAACTTATTCTCAGTTGGGCCAAATTTTCAGAGCACAGAGAAAGCCAGAGGGCTAGTGAAGATCCCACATTGCCATAATTTATTTTGACTTCCAAGAAAGTAGAAATGGGTCAGATTGCCCTGTACTGGAATGAAGAAAACTTGCCATTTATAGGATTATGGGGAAGCTGAGGCTAGAGGGCTGCTCAGACCAGAATAGAGGCATAGGGGTTAGTTAATGGGGAACTGCCTACTCTTGAATTGCTCCATTCTCCCACACACCCTTAGCCCAATTCACTCCTGCCCACAGGAACTTTCAGCCACTTGTCTAAAAGAAATACAGCAACCAGCTCTCCACGTCCTCCTCCTTCCCTGCCCTGACCAGCCCCAGCTGCCAGGGCACAATCCCGACAAGGGGGCCCCACACCCAGGAGGGATCCTGCACCCCAGCATGACCATCGCTCCCTCAGGCCCCTCGGAGCCCCGGGGGCGGTGGTCAGCCTAGCAGGCAGCGCCAACCGTTTTCTGCCATCCTTACCACTGCAGAGCCAACACAATGGAGGAATTATTCTTTTGCAAGTGCCGCGTACGCAAATCGGCCATGGAGCATGCTGCCCCTGCCGAAACACGATGGCTGGCCATGGGCTGCGTTAACTGACCAAAGCACATAACTGTTAGTTTTGTACTCGCACAGAAATGCTGAGGAACACTGTCCCTCCTCGCTATCCAGCAGGCCAGATGCGTATCTCTGCCAAGAGACTGTAGGCACGTGGTAAGTAACTGCATTTTTTCCCTAAACTCTGAATGCCTGAGACTACTCCAGAGTTGTAAAAATACTTCCCCCCCTTTCACTGTCATCGCTGTGTGGCACCGCTTGGAGAGGTGCTTGCCAGCCGAGGTGGCTCTCTAAAGACTTGATAAGAAACAACCCCAATGCAACGCTCACTGCAACAAGGAGCACTCTTTTCTGTGATTTTTGTGCAAGATTTTAACAGAATTTATGCACCCATTAAAATCTAATTCCACTGTGCCTAACTCGAATGTGCTGATTACTTGAGATGGTCACTTTAACTTGTGTTTAATTGGTTTAAAGGCTTCAGATGAAGCATTAGAAGAAAAAAAAACCAACGCAGAATTGCAATGAAAGCCCAGTCACCAAGGACAACCACCAAAGGTCTGCTATTCCACTTGCTTTGCAGACCAGCACGTGGGACACCTGGCAAAGCCAAATGTGGTACTTTTAAGAAATTTTATGACGAAAAAAAGGTTCCCTCACGACAGGGGAGCACAGAATACTAAAGTGATTAACAAAGGCAGAGCATCAGAAAAGCTCACATATAAAAGGGAGAACATTATTAATTATATGACAAATGTGGGTGGGCTGGGGAAAGAAAGGAGAATTAAAAAAAACAACAGGAAAGGGAGTATGTGGCTGCAGCAAGGGGAAAAAAAAAAAAGAAAAAAGAAAAAAAGGTTATTCACAGAAATCCCATGCTTTGAGCGCCTGGAAGCCTCCAAAATCTCAACTACGCCAAAATCCAACGATGCACACCGACGGGTTTAAGAGCTTCCCTGAAGGCAGCTCGCAGCAGTCCCTGAGGGACCGTGCCCTTCCCGGGCGGGGACCGGGCGCTGGCGGGGCCGCTCTCCGGTCAGGAAAGCGGCTGTTCCGGTCACGTCGGAAGGAGCCCGACGGCGGCTCCATTTCCGAGCGGGAGCCGAGGCCCCGGCGGGCGCCGCAGGGCCGGGTCGCCCGCGGTGTGGCGGCGGCGG